CCCCAAAACCCCAAAACCCCAAAACCCCAAAACCCCAAATAGGCAAATTTTTGCTGAATTGTAATAATATATTGAATTTAAGCATGGATAAGAAGCCTAATCCCAGTAAGTTTGCCTATTTATCAAATAAATTTCTACTGACTTTCTTCCATTTCCTTGACTTGTTTATACAATAATTTGAAACATGTGGCAATGGGAGAAAGTTTTGCAAAAATTTAGTGCTCCTCTATAGACAAATTTCCTTTTACTATGAAGTTATTTTATTAACTTTGACATTGAAGAAATAGAAGGTTCCTATTATGAACCTCTGACCTAGTAATCCTTGGATGGTCAACATAAAAATTTAAAATATTGGTTCAGGTCTCTTCTACTATGAAAGTATGATCTCATATTCCTTCTTGCTTATAAATATAAGCAAGTTATGCAAGTCTGGCCATAAAGAACTTCTGATCGATTATAATGTTCATTACTAGAAATAAATTTGGGTTTACCTACAAATTATTAAGTTAGAGGTTCATGATTTCTTATTGCTTCAGATATAAGGTTCATGATTCTTCTTACTATTTAGCTAAGCTCCTGTGAATTTTTTTGTAGTTATATAATCCAGACTAGTTTTTAAAGAGGAGAGTTCATCTACATTTTCTGTAAATTTTAAGAAAACGCATTATTAATGTTTTACCAGTGATCACTAAGATTTTGTTACTAATTTTAGGACCAGAAAAGCAGCAAAAGAGGAAGCAGAGGTATATAAACTTTAGAAAAGAGAGAATTAGAGGAAACTGGAAATTTTTGAATTATTACATTGGTATCGTGCACAGTATGGCCTTTATTATAGAAGGAGGCCTTAATGAATTTAAGACAATGGAACATTTTACGTCAGGAGTAGGAGCCTTAGTAGTATTTGCTATTGTATTAGGGTTCTACATCCTCCAGAAGTACACACAGTCTTACTCAAGAATAGCAGGGCCAGTTATCTTTATATCGTTTTGCGTCTGGATGTGAGAAATTGTTGTTCAGAATGGAGAGTACAAAATTTACGAAGGCTGCCTTGTTTTGATCTCACTTTATTATCTCATCACGATTTCTATTGTAGTAGATTTAGCAATCATGCCTTTTATTATGATCGGATGACAAGTGTACACTCTTTTAAGGTTCTTTACTTGATTAGAAGATGTTCCCCAGATTGCTGTATCCTGTTATGTTGCTCCGATAGTACCCTTCACAATTTTCTGAATCAAACTAAATGATTTTTCGTGGAAAGAATTTTTATTCATCGAAAGTAAGGAAAAGGTGATTAAGAATCTGCATAAGCTATTGAAAGCCTTCCCTGAAAGAATCGCTGTAACAAAAAGAGCCAAAGCTAAGACTACTCTTTCATTCACCAATGATCCAACAATTGAAGCTTTGCTTAATCATAACACTACAAAGCTCAGGGAAAATATTACCAGGCTGTAAGATAAGGTTAAACTTTTAGTGAGAATTTTGATATTAGTGATTCAGATGAAAAAGTTAAGAACGAGACGATCTCCATCAGCAAGTTTCTGAAGCAAGAAATACAGAAACTAGAAAGCTCTGACACGAACAAAATAGAGTCCAACATAAAGGCTGAGTCTGCCCAGGATTTGGTAAAGGAAGAGAATAAATACTACACTGTTACAACGAAGAAAGTTTCACTAGTTGATGAGTATGGAGATGAGGAGTGTAAAGAATGCAATGAAAGAACTTTCCTCCATATATTTACTGATAAAACATCTTCAGAGGAATTGAAGAATGAAATTGACTTGAAGGCTTACCAAAGACTAATGTTATCAAATGTGGCTCACGAATTCCGAAATCCATTGAGTGCAGTCTCTGGGAATTTAGATTTAATCGAACTGGTATCTACAGAACAAAAAGTTAAAGAATTCGCAAGAAGAGCCAAGATATCAAGCAAGATGATCAATTTTTATGTAGATGATATACTTGATCTTAGTAGAATAGAAAGAGGAGGATTTAATTTAAATCCTGAAGACTTCAAAGTGAGTGCAAGCCGCTAAATAAAATAGGTAAAGGAGCTCATAAATGATGTAAAAGAACTATATGAAGGAGAAACAGAAAAGAGGTTTATTCAAATGACCTTTAAAATGACAGACCTCGTACGTCTTCAGACTATTAATGCTGATAAGAGGAGAATTATGCAGGTGCTTATTAATCTGGTCTCAAACGTTATAAAATTTACTTCTAACCTTATTAATATTGAGTTCTTTGAATTCAATGATTTCCAAATGCAGAAGAGTCAAAAGCTCAAAATGATAGTAAGCAAAGAGCTAATTGTTTTAGGATTTTCAGAGATTTCCTAAAAATACATTCAGAGATTTACTGGAGGATAGTATAATAAGTTCGCAAGCTAATGAGTTGGCTTGCAAGATTACTGAAAAGTAAGTATACAACTCAAGATTGTTCTCCTTTGTCTTGATTTAGCATGTTTTGGGGTATTTAAGAAGTACTATTAAGTTGAATATTACTTCTTCCAAGAATGCTTCTTATTTTCTATAGATACAAAATAGATCCTTCAGAGTACCTTTTCGTCTGTTTAACTGATAATGGTGAAGGTATCCTCAAAGAAGACCAGAAGAGCCTCTTCAAACTCTTTGGAAAGATTGAGAAGACTCACCATAAGAATAAGAAAGGTTGAGGACTTGGCCTAACAATCTGTAAGAAGATTATAAATAAAAGCGAGTAAGCTTCATTCTTTCATTAATAGAGGATTCATCGACTTAATCTCAAGCCCAGAAGGGTCGACCTTTGGGTTCTGAATCAAGATAGATAAGGAGAAGTTCTACTTCTCTAATTTACCTATTGAGCACCAAGAAGAAGAGTTTAAGATAAACCCAATCAGAGAATTTGAATTTCAAACCTACAAATCAAAGGAGGGTTTATCCTAATAATCTGAAGTATGAATGATTCAACTAAGCCAGTCATTTTGGGGTTTTGGGGTTTTGGGGTTTTGGGGTTTTGGGG